TTCTAAATTCATGTTCTCATCTACAAATTCATCTCGATAAAGAAAGTCAATTGTTCACATTTTGGACATGATATCAAGCACTAAGCTGTTGGATTCCACTTTTTTGGTGTTTTGAGCATATAATCGATCAGTCATAACTCTTGAGTGTTATCAAGGTGGTACTTCTTTTTTCTAGAATATTGTATAATATTGGAGTGAAGTATAAATGTTATCAATAATCTTTAAGGTATATTTACTAATTCCTACAATCTTTCTTTCGTTTTTTTTTTTTTTTTTTTTTTTTTTTTTTTTTTTTTTTTTTTTTTTTTTTTTTTTTTGGTGATAAATGAGTGCATGATGGTTTCTGTTACAAAAAAAATAAAAATAAAAAGCTATTATGCAAGCATTATAGATGTGCGGATTGTTCCTACTAGTCATGGTAAAAATTATACAATTTTATTTGTGGGTGGTCTTTGTTGCCTCTTTTTATTTTATGACTTGTTTGTAGGGTGGTTTAATGGAAAAGTATATGTTTGATGTCACTGGTAGGTATAGCATTTGAGCTCTTGCCACTTAATTATGTATAATTTAGGTTATATATTCCAAATATACAGGAATATATTGTTTTTCTTGTTGAAAATAGATTTAAATTCAGTATTTGTTGCCTTCATGTACCCTAGGGTTCATTGATGTGATAAATATTGCTGGTGTATGATCATGTTTAAACTTATAAATTATTTTCAGATATTATCTTGATCATGATATATGATCATGTTTAAACTGATAAATTATTCATGTCTTGGGGTTGCATTTCAGGCTGTCAACCAATTATGCAGCCATTTTGAAGCTTATAGAGATTTTCAGAAGATCACAGAGTTGAGGGAGAAGTTTAAGAGCATCAAACAAATTCTGAAGTCACACGTGTTCTCAGATTTCTCCAGGTACGTTAAAATATGTAACAGTTTCAGGATCTATCATGAAAAGCTAAAGTTTATTGTTATCATCGTATAGTATCACGTATGTCACTGTAGACTTACCTCATTGTTCATGAATATGACTTTGTTGTGTTCGGACTTTATTTTCGTAGAACTCTTTTTTAATTGGTTGTGTTTAAGTAGATTGTTAGAAATTAGAATTTGTGATATTATATAATATAATCAATCTTGCAACAACTTTTACGACATTATTAAACGGAGTGAAATATGCTATAGTGGACAAGTGGAGATGTTCATTTTTTTTTATATGTCTTCGTTAATCGTTATTGCGCATATCAGTAGCATTATTAAAAATCTAGAAACTTAAAAGAGTGAAAATAAATTATCAGCGCTTCATTTAATCTAAAGCCCTCTTAACTGGTATATATTTGTACTTCTTTCCTATCTATAGACAACTTTTATATTGTGCCAGTAGGATGAACCTTAAACATTGTGACCAGAAGGGAATGTTTCCCAAAAAATTCTGGTGCAATTTAATAGGAAATGATAAAGCTACTTGCTGTATCATAATTATCTGGAGATGACTTTCTCCTTTCTTTCCCTCATGTCTTTAAGCAAAAAATAAATAAAATCTCTATTTGAGATCTTCTCTTATTTTTCTCTTCTTGGACTTGGATTTGGATGGGCTTCGCCATTTGGGTCTCCCTCAGGTGATGTTAAATTGGTCGAATGACATTTTCGAATTAAAAGTTAGGACTTGATTTGATTGGAGGGCTTCTTGGCAGTCTTTCTTCTTTGATATTCCTTGAATGATATTCCTTGAAGATGGATTTGAAAATAGTTTTAACATGTATCAGTGAATCTTGATTTCATTGGACAAATAGTTTATTAACGTACCAAGAAGTTCTTTGGTTTGTTGACATCTTTTATTCGTAATCTTTTAAATTGATTTGGCAGAGTTTTTACTCGTATCAAGGAATTCCTGATTTACAAACGTTTATTCTCGTGTCAGTGGGCCGTGATTTTATTTGACTTGAAGACATTTTTATATCTGTGCCAAAAGAGTTCTTCATTTATAGACATTTATACTCGTGTTAAGAAGCCTTCAAATTGTAGATATTTTATGATCGTGTTAATGAGTTTTCGCCCTTGTCTGACAATTAGCAGTTTACAATAAGTTAACGAATAGCTGATAGCTAATAGATGATTGTATTAGCAACACTTAGGTGAAAGGTGATTGTGGGTTTGACTATCAGAGTATTATACACAAAATGCTTGGTCAAATATTTATAGCGGAAAAGTGGATTTTTAGTATTAAAATGAATAATAATGTAGGTCCATAAGATAAATTTATTGTGAATAATAATATATAAATATTATTAATTAACAACAATGGTCTGTTTAATTATTAGATGCATAATTTTTTAAGTTGTTAATTTGTAAATATAACAAGTTCAATTTGCAATAAATAAATATTACTCCCTCCTATTCTTTTTATTTGTCATTTTGGCTTTATTGATCATTAATCAAATAAATGACGTTTTGGATCTTTTATACATATTTTTTCATTGTTACCCTCATTTAGTTAATACAAGACACGTTTTGGGAGGAAAGTTGTGGAAATCTCTCTTAAAAGAACATAACAAAAGCTGAAAAGAAATAAATTAATTAATGTTATTTTGCTTTAAATAAGGCTAATAATGGCAAGAAAAGATTTCTTAATTTATGTGTAAAAGCACATAGCGACATTTAAAAAAAAAAAAAGAGGTAGTACTAATAATTAATATATTTATTGTAGTTTAATTTTGTCTAAATGCTTAATATAGCTAGAAATTTATATAAGCCTACCTTTTAACAAATATTCAGTTCTCTCCTCACAAAAAAGTTCATATTTGGAGCATTTTCATAATTTGCATTTTGGTGCAAGCTAATTTGAAACTCTACCAAACATGTCGAAGATAGGATCTGACTAGTCAAAACCTTTTATTGAGGTCCAAACCTCTTTTAGCTCAAACCTCTCTTTACACAATCTTTGTATTTGAAGACATTTTATACTCGTATCAAGGAGATTTCAGATTTGTTTTGAGGAATTTAGATAGTTTATGATCATATCTAGAAGCATTATATATAGTTTAGGCTCGTATCATCGAGCATATGATTTGAGGATTTGATGAAAACTCTTTACACAAGTTGCACTGATGGAGACGAGTTCGTGGAGAACTCCGAAGTCGTCTACGTTTGCTCCCGTTAAATGCATATGGCGTTGTCTTGAAAAGATCGCTTATTTGGTTGCCCCTTCTACATTGATTTAAAGAGATCGTAAGACTTCAAACTTAAGCTTGATTTGAAATGAAGAGATGAGAAGTTGAGATTACCTACCGGCGTGCCAAATTCATAACATATAATATTTATGCCAAAAAAAAAATGCACAACTTGATTTTATTTTGATGGCTACAATCTCTATTTACTCTCTCCTCTGATTCTTCTCTTCTTGGACTTTGATTTGGATATTCAAAGGTGGCTTCGCAGTTTGGATCTCCTTCGGGCTTGAGTTTGAATTTGACTAATTTTTATTCTGGGGTCAAATACTTATTCCTGAATTAAACGTTAGGACTGGATCTGATTGGAGGGCTTCTTGATGGATTTCTGCTTGTCCTTTTTTCTCCTGCTAAATTCATCAAGTACTTTTCATCTTGCTGTGACTTCTCTTCTTTTGGATTCTTTGTTTTATATAGTTCAGAAAAGCATGACACACTTTATGTTTAACATGGAGTTCCTCTAATGGTTAAAGATGACTTTATAGCTGGATTGAGTTTCATTTGATCTGATTTTCATCAGCACAGACAATTTTGTCTTATTTTAGTTGCTTCTCTCCCATTTGCCCTCCACCCCCCATCTTCTATTAATGTGTAAAGAGTTATGCTGACTTCTTCTCTCCACAGCTTAGGCACCGGGAAGGAGACTGAAGAAAGTAATTTACTTCAGCAGCTTTCGGATGCATGCTTAGTTGTTGATGCCTTGGAGCCATCAGTAAGAGAAGAGTTAGTGAAGAACTTTTGCAGCAGGGAACTGACTTCATATCAACAAATTTTTGAGGGAGCTGGTTTGTCTAATATCATTGTTCTACTTTATAGTTTTGGTAATTGCTTTCAATATTCCCCACATGTTAATAATCTGGGTTCTATTCTTCATCGACAGAATTGGCAAAGCTGGACAAGACAGAGAGAAGATATGCTTGGATCAAGCGCCGGCTAAGAACCAATGAGGAGATATGGAAAATTTTCCCATCTTCATGGCATGTTTCATATCTACTCTGCATCCAGTTCTGCAAGTTGACAAGGTTGGTGAGTTATGCCCCGTTTATGTTCAATGGTCAAACATGTGTGGCAGACCATATGTATAGCCAACCTACTGAAAGACCATCTCTTTTTGGTCTTCTGTGTGGTTTAGAACTGGATAATCTAATTTTCTGCTTGTACAGAATCTGATATTTTCATACAAGCCTTACTAATACAGGGTTTTGCTCAGTGTTGGTTATGCTGGATCTTTAACAATATGAACAATAAAATCTCTCCAAGTTTTGCATTTCTGATATCTCGCATGAAGCTCTTTAGAGTACAGTGATTATTGGTTTTCTTATATCCAGAACACAACTTGAAGACATCCTCAACAGTCTTAAAGAAAAGCCAGATGTTGGCACATTGTTGATGGTAAGTTTCTTTCAGACACCATGTTACATGAAGGAGTTCTTAAGTTGATTAAACGCATAGACCACTTAAGTGTTAATAAAATCTTCAGCGGCAGCTTATTATTGATTTTGCATATTAATGTATCAGGAGGAATATCTCGATGCCTTCATGTCTCCTATGCCTTCTGTTTTTAGCCTTGTACTTATCCTCTGCCCAGAGTGTTTATATATGTATCTCATGATGACGCTGATTTATATATATATATATATATATATATATATATATATATTGTTTCTGTATGAGAGTCTTCAAGTTTTAGCCATATAACAATTTCTATAGCTCATATGTTATCTTAAAATGATGCATTGTTTATACTTTATGCTTGAAATTTCTTTTACTCTTCCTTGACTTTGCATCTCCAATTTAATCCAGGAATAAAAGTTGCAGTTAATTTTGTATTTAGCCTGTTGAAGTGTACCTCATTAATGATATTGGATTTTTGTATGTAGCCTGTTGAAGTTTACCTCATTAATGATACTGGAGGAAATACATATATCTATCTGATAAATGGGCTTGGGTAGGACTCATCCCAAAAGCTAGCTCAAAGGGAGAGGGTGCCAACCACACTTATACACAATAGCAGCTTGTAACTAATCGATGTGGTACAAACATAACTCTTAACATCCGCCCTCGCGCGCAACATGCCAAAACCAAATGGGCTGGTCCAGACCCAACATCGCCTCCAAACAAACAAAACCTGGGTGCTCTATTACCATGATAAATAGGCTTGGGTAGAACTCATCCCCAAAAGCTAGCTCAGAGGGAGAGGGTGCTCAACCCACATATATACACAAACAGCCCAGTAACTAATGTATATGGGACAAACATAACTTCTAACACTTTCAATTTTATCCATTATCTTGAAACTTTGATGAGCCTGTAGAAGTTTGAGGTCTGTATATTTTGTATGTTGCATAGTGTGTGGTGATTTCTGCCTATGGAGCATAGATCTACTCATTTTTCGTTTCAAAATTTGATTAAAGGAATATTCTCCAATTAATAAATTTGTTTATGTAGATATCCTTCATATGTGGTCTTTCAACTTGTAGGCATTGCAGAGGACTCTGGAGTTCGAGGAAGAATTAGCAGAGAAATTTGGTGGTGGGAGTCGAAGCAGAGAATTGGGAAGTGATGTTGGGGAAGATATGGTGGAAAACAACCAGACTATTTCAGACATTCGAAAGAAATATGAAAAAAAACTTGCTGCACATCATGAAAATGAGAATGAGGCATGTGTAAACTTGAAATTGCTCGACTTTGTCAATAGAAACTCCTTAGTACTACGAAGTGAATAATGGATGCTACTTATGAAGTTATATTGTGAAATATTGCTACTCCTTCATTTCATATTTAATGTCCTTTTCAGGATCAAGAAGCCAGCAAAGATTTGTCAGTGCCTGGTGCTGGGGTAACTTCTGTCATCAGTATTTTTCACTGTAACTAATTTATTTCTATGGCCAGAGGCAGTAGTTACTTGTTACCATCATTTGGGTAACTTTCACCATGTGTTGGTTACCTAAGATAACCAATTTGCAGATATGAATTATCTTTCCCCAATTTGCAGCATATATATTGCTTCGTGGTCAAATTGACCGAAATGTTAGGTTTAACCTGCTTTTCAAGTTTGGGTTGTAACAAGCAACAACATGGCAGTCTGTCATTTTGATCAAGTTTCTACATGGCAGTCTGTCATTTTAATCAGTCTTATCATTTTTTTTTTTTATTTATATGGCGTGAAAACTTGTTGGGAATATACTGGGTATGTTGATGTTGATGTTGTATTTATATGGCGTGAAACTTGGTTTTCATTTAGATGTGAACCTGAAAAAGTAGGTGTTTATTTTTTTTGTTGACTGCTACGATTTACCTGGCAGTTCAACTTTAGAGGGATCATTTCATCATGTTTTGAGCCCTACCTGGCTGTGTATGTGGAACTGGAAGAGAAGACACTTATGGAGCATTTGGAGAAACTTGTCCAGGTTCAAGTCATTCTGATTCATGGACATTGGTGTTTGAAAATGGAGTGTATGATTTTTCGACTTCGTCTGAGATGATTTTATAACCCACTACAGGAAGAAGCATGGGAGATTGAAGAGGGAAGTCAAACTAATATTTTATCTAGCAGTATGCAGGTAAACAAATACATAGGTCAATGTGGATACGTGTGTTTGCGTCTTGCTATTTTTAACTTATTGTCTTTATCATTAAAAGAAATTGTTAAGGAATATATCATTTGAGGTAAGAGGTGATTACTGTTTTACACCTCGCTGCAGATGTTACTCTGTATTATGAATTCATTTTTGAAACTAAACTTTATGGAACATTTAACATGTTATTCAAGTTCTTAATGTTGATTTGTATCGTTTTCCTTCAAGTGGCCATTTATGTTACATGGTTTTGAAAATAGGACATGTGAATCTGGCCTAGGATTATAGAAAAAGTAAATATTAGTACTTGGCATAAGATTTTTATTGATACATCCAAGTACTGAACGCACTTTTCAGTTAATTTTGAAGAAAAATAATTTAATATCCACTACTTAGAACTGATCATCATCAGAAAATTCAGAATTTCCATTGCCTCTCTCATACTCTTGTCATCATTTTCCGGACATGCTCCTTTTTACTTTTCCTACAATTCAATCTAATTTATGGAATGACAAATGTTCTTGAACAGACAAGACATTTTTCAGGTGACATGAATTAACTATGGATAACAAAATGCTGTGATTGGTATTTTTGTTAATTCGTACATAACAATCTTTTTCTTGGTGAGTTTTGATTCTTTTATGAGGAGGATTTAGCGTGCCCCTAGAATGTGAGAAATACCTTAACCGTGAAGTGTCTTGATAATTGCACTATAAATGCTAAACTTTGAGACTACTTATATGATATAGCTTGTCGCACTGCATTTCCCTATTCTAGCGTTTCATTGAGCTCAGTATTATATTACTTGTACTATATTCTTGGTGGTTTTGTGAAGGTTTTTTTGATTATCCGGAGGAGCTTAAAAAGATGCAGTGCTTTGACGAAAAACCAGACATTGTTCAATCTGTTCAAGGTGCTTTATCAAGATTTCCTTGCCATGCCTTGTGATTGAATCAAAAATATTGAGAAAGCATACTATTCATCCAATTTTCTACTTTTCTCTCATAAATCTTATCACAATGTTTACAATAGCAATCAATCATATAACACTTTCTCTACAAAATTCACTATTCATTCATTTATATATTTCTAGTTGTCAATCCTTTTTAACCATTATTCTACTACTATAATAGCAATATTTTTAGCTTACTCTTGCTTATTTTGATTTAAATGAACAAAATGTCTGAAGAAATCTGACTTTTCATTGTTAGATTAATCAGGCAATTTTTTGAATCACCAGATTCTGCAAATAGATTCTTAAAATCAATTGTAAACGTGCAGCCCCATCGTACATCTTTTAAGGCTTCATTACTCTGTAAATAGGTGTTTCAAAGAATTCTTAAAGCATATGCTACAAAGCTTTTCGCACGACTTCCCAAGGGTGGGACAGGAATTGTAGCTGCGGCCACAGGAATGGATGGTCAAATCAAGGTAGCTTTATATTGCTTATCTTAGCTGTGTTGTCAGTTTGGTCGTACTGTGTTTTTCTTGTATGCTTTCAGTGACTTTACTGTTTCCCGCAGACTTCTGACAAGGATGAACGCCTGATCTGTTACATTGTTAACACAGCCGAATATTGCCATAAGACGGTATGTTCTTTTAAAATGCTTCATTTAACTGCAATAATTGGATTACTTTTGTAGTTTTAGCCACATCGCAAATTGCTTTTAAAATGTAGAAGGCACAAAAAATGGCTTAACAAAAATAGCTAAAAAATAGTAGTAGTACTTAATTTGGAGAATGAATATTTCCATTTTCTACCTCTTTTTTTTTCTTGTAATTCTTTCTTCCTCCACTCTTTATCCACCTTTAACTATCTTGTGTTATCAGTCAGGTGAATTGGCTGAAAATGTGTCCAAAATCGTTGATCATCAATATGCAGATAGGATTGACATGTCTGAAGTACAGGTGAATACATTCTCTCTCTTCCCCCCTCTCTCTCTATATATGTATAGATATGTGGGATGTGTGTGTGTATGTGTGCGTGCGTGTGTATACTTCTATATATCCCTTCCCTCTATTTGTGCCTAAATATCATAAAGCTGATGCATCTTGCAGGATGAGTTCTCAGCAGTTGTAACAAAAGCTTTGGTGACTCTTGTGCATGGTATAGAAACTAAATTTGATGCTGAAATGGTTGCAATGACACGTGTTCCTTGGGGAACTCTTGAAAGTGTTGGTGACCAGTCTGAGTAAGATGATGCCTTGATTAATAAAGTGATACTGAGATTTTTTCCCATGTCTCTCTCTATATGCTAACCTCTTTGTCATCTCCTGCAGATATGTGAACGGCATAAACACAATACTGACTGCTAGCGTTCCTGTACTTGGGAGGCTTCTTTCTCCTGTATATTTCCAGTTTTTTCTTGATAAGGTGAATTATAATGTTTGTGAACTCATTGTGTTTCTCATTGGTCAAATAGTATACAAGGAGGTTATCACTGTATTAGCTGAAAACATACTTTTACATTTTCCAATAGCATTAGCAGGCTCAATGTTAAAGAGATAAGCATGACCACCAACATTGCTTGTTAGTAAAACCAAAGTGGTTTGCAAATTTATTCTAAAGTTATTTATTGGATTTTTTTCTATTTCAGTGGCACAAAATTCATTAAAAACTCAGCTGTTTAATCTTCATTGTTCAGATTTTATTTCTTGGTATTGGATTACGAAAAGGAATATGGTAAAGTAGTGTTCTAGATGGATTGCTACATGGTTTGGAGTTTGGGACCCTGTCATAAAATTTTGATTGTAAGAAAAATAGATGTTGTTCGAAAAATTGATCCATGCACATCGACACCATTATTCGGAACTTATTCTATTATGCTTATGATTTTACCAATGCTTGCAGCTTGCATCATCTCTTGGGCCGCGCTTCTACCACAATATATTCAAGTGCAAGCAGATATCAGAAACGGGAGCACAACAAGTATTTGTTACTCTAACTCCGTGTTTTCTAAAAGCTATTTTTTACTTATATTAATTAATTGGTAATATTCCACGGTTTGACTCATGTATTGCAGATTTTAGTTCTGTGTAAGTGAACATGCCCTTGATTGATTTTGATTGGCGTTCTTTTTGTAAGTATTAAAAGTCGGTATTTTCAATCTGCAGATGCTGTTGGACACACAGGCTGTAAAAACAATTCTTCTGGAGATTCCTTCCCTTGGTAAACAGGTTAGATGGCAACTCCGATGGAAGAGTGTAGCAACATCCTTCTTAAAAGCGCGAATAATCGAATTTCACGGTTTAAACATCCACGACTTCAACCGCTAATTTTCTAGAATACATTTAGAACCTTAAATATTTGTTTTCATGCACACACGATAGGAAATTGGTTATCGCCTTAGATACGCACTAAAGTAAGTCCATATCTTCGTAAAATACATTATTCATTTTGCATTCCAACAACTTTATTGTGTTCCTCACATATACAGATTATCACTGCTCTATAGAAATGCCTTTCTCGACAGACTTTGGGTTGAATATATAGTTAAAATAAGTATAGTTCGGTCGAAAACAATAGCCAAAAGAAATGACGCGATTCATTTCGAGTTTGTTGGAATTTAAAATTTAATATTTTTATAATGTTGCCCTTCTATTATGAGATTAAACAAATATAGCTTGTTTAATTGTTTCTCTCAACAGGTATCTGCGGCTGCAGGCTACTCGAAATTTGTAAGCAGTGAAATGAGCAAAGCTGAAGCATTGCTGAAGGTATGATGTCTTCCACCGAGCGTTGAGGCTCAAATAAACGTGTTCTGTATTCTATTTTGTTTTCCCTTTCTTTTTAAATTGCCTTGCCGTGGTTAAAAATTCTGTAAATGTTACACAGGTCATTTTGTCCCCACTTGACTCTGTGGCAGATACATACTGTGCCCTGTTGCCTGAGGGTACTCCTTCTGAGTTCCAAAGGATTTTGGATCTAAAGGTTTGTTATACTCATCCCGAACTTGTTGAATCGATTTTTCTTTTAGAAAATTTAAAATAATGGAAATTATGGCCCGGCTTTTTTTGTTCTCTCTTTTGATCGTTAGTACAATTGCCCCCCCATTTTATTATTTTTGCTGTTGTATTCATCTTTTCCTTTGGTGTATTTAGGGCCTCAAAAGGACCGAGCAGCAAAGCATACTCGATGATTATAACAAACGTGGGGCCGGGACCTACCAACCTTCAATAAAGCCCGTTTTTGCACCCACTTCTACTCTCTCAGGTACGCCCACCACCGCCTTAGCCAATAACAACAATAGTAGTAGTAGCAGTAGTCTATCCACGCCAGCTGGCATCATCCCATTGAAGGAAGAAATAGTGGCACGGGCAGCTGCGCTCGGGCGTGGTGCAGCCACAACGGGCATACGGCGCATCCTAGCTTTAACCGAGTCAACTACCAAGGATCGAAAAGATGGACCCCT